AAACACCAATGGGAAAGATTATGGTTCTCTTCTTCATATTTAAAAGCAATTCAAAATAAAACAATATCACATTGCACAAAAAGTTTAAGGAATTCCAGCAACAATATGGTTTGGAATTTTTTTTTTTCTTACAATCTTTTCAGTGCATGAGACCTCCAGGATCATGAGTCAAAGTGTGGCCCTAGTTTTTCCGTCATCCAGACAATCACCACAAATCTTTCTTAGTCATCAATCATGAGCACAGTACAGTTCTAGTTGCTAGGACACACTAAAAATGAACTTGTTTCTTTCTGAGAATAACTTGGTCAGTAAACTCAGGAAGAGACCTGACTGCTCTTTCAGGAAATGTGTGGGAAATGCAGGGAGGGGACATGAGCTGGTTATAATAAATTAGGTACATTAATATTTAAGAGTAACCAAGAATACGGCTTCCTATAAACCTCTAAGAAAGCTTCCAGAGATATGGCTCTTTTACCAATTTTCTCAGAGACCTGAGTAATGATATGAAAAACAATTTGATCTAATGTGCAGACAGCCTTTCTTTGGGAGGACAGGCAAAAATGCTAATAACAGAATCAATTCCAAAAGGAATCCTGTGAAGAAACAGCCAAAATAAAGCAAAACTAAACACAAAAATGTTGGGTCCTTTGGTGACATCAGCACAGGAGGGAAAACATGGCCTAATGCAGCATGTATTGAGGGCTCAGAGGTTTTCATGAACAGAAACTCACTGTGAGGCTGGTCACAAGAACAGTGAATGCAAATTTGAACTACAACAGTGCAAGCAGGGCATGCAAATCCAGGGAAAGGCACTCATCCATTCTGCATAGATCAGGTTGAACGAAAAGACTTCTGAGCACTCTTACTGTTCAGGGAATAACTGAAATAATTATATCTATGGAAGAATTTGCTCTGCAGGCCACAAAGGGAATCAAATTCAAATAGATAAAATTGCACTTTAATTTTTAAAGTAAAAATCATCTAGTAGCTTAAAAACATCAAAAAAAGTTGGAGGTGCCCACCTATCATTGCAAATGTTCAGTTATTCCTGGAATACCACAGGCAGAGTATAGGAAGGAATGCAAGCCCCCAAAAAGGATTAGTTAAGCTGGTCAGTGACTTCCAAACTCTGGTTCTCAGTAAAGTTTTCACTGTCCAGTGCAAAAGGAAAAAGTGCCTGTGGATGGGTATACCTGTGTGTGTGGAGTAATTTTAATACATATCCTCTATGGATGGGGAGAATTTTCCTTCAGTTTGTCTAGCAGCCTAGGTATTCCTCCCTTGTGGGTGCCTATCAATGAACCTTGATGAAATGCATTGATAATAGACAGTAACCACTGCTACTAATGCATTTGAGAAACAACATCAAATACTAACCAATCTGCTAAACCCTATGGTCTATTTCTTAATTTTACAGGTGGATGGAAATTAAAAGTATAGGAACAACATGAAGGAATAAACTTAAGAAACTTTTTGGTGCAGAAATACTACAGTAACTAGATTCAACTTAATGTATCTTCTTTCCTTTTAGTAATACAATGTTGTGCTGAAAAATAAATAATAGATCAAGAATGGGGTTAAACTAAATAGGAAATCTCCCATAAAAACAACCTCTACTGTGGGTCAGATCTGGAGTTCTTTGAACAAAGTTTATAAACCAATTCAGAAAGGATCAAATTATTCTGTCTCTGAAGCTATAAAGCATTTAAATTATTTTCACACTGCTATCCCTCCTTTAAAAAGGATCACAACTAGATGTGATTGGACTAGAGCAGTAATTTCTGCTCTTGAATCAGTGATTTCAAGGGAAGCCAAGCAGCCGTAACTCATGAATGTTCACACACAAAATTAAGCTAAATCAAATTAAAATGACATGATCATGACCAAAAAAAAAGAAAGAAAGAAAGAAAGAAACTATCCCAATCACTCAATTTCCAATACTTTAGTACATTTGTTTTGTTTTAAATGATAAAAATACCAAATTTTTGGTGTTGATAAGAAATATGTAAATACTTTATCCAAATCTTTTGTAACAAGCAGTGGAGGAAGGAATTAGAGATCCTTTTCCCTCTCACCTAATGTTCTATTTTTCCAACCTGCAAGGAAATTGGGGACATTATCAGAATTACACGTGGGACACAATTTCCTACATTTTTAAAGACTTCTTATTTCATTCAAATTTGAAATAGAAAAAAAAAACACTTCTCTTTGCTTTTCAACTAACATCAACTAGTTTAAGTTTTCTTCAAAATCAGCAACTCTGAAAGGAGTTTTATTCCTAACCCACCCCCATACATTGGCCTTAATTCAGAGTCAATGCTCTCTCAATTTCAAAAACAAATAAATAATAATAATAAACACTCAGGATTTATTAGTTATGGCCAGGGGCTAGAAGGCTTATCCACACAAACAGTTCTTTACCAAGTATGCAATAAACACAATGGTTTTTAAAGTAGTTCTAAAGACCAAATGCAGAACTTCTAAACCACTTTCAACACAACTGCCTTCTGAGCAATAGCTCACTACTACTTTCTCACCCTCAAGAACAGATTTTCAAAACAAACTTATTTTTTTGCTTCAAGTAAAAAAGAAGGTCATCCAAAGTAGGCAGGTGTTCACTAAGCTCAGGTATCAAGGGAGCCTCCAAAGAACACTATCAAACCCATATTATATAGCTTTAACTACAAGAAGTATCACAAGAGCAAAATGTGATGCTGTAATAATCCCGTTACAGTTATTAAAGTAAAGCATTTTGAAAAAGACTAATATTCAAAAATATAAAAAGCATGTGACAGGAAATATATATGAACCTGCTGGGGAGCATCTACAGCCCACATTACAAAGCCAGATGCTTCACCTTGGTACAGGTAATTGATCGTTCACTTTATTTTCTGTACCAACTAGGTATGCTACTTCTTATCCAAGTTCACTTTACCCCATCTATAGGTAGCATGTGGGTACTGATAAAACCTGCTTCGGATTTCATTTAATTTCCTACTTTCCAGATGTTTGCAGTTTTTTTTTTCCAGCTATTTCTGAATATGTCTAATTTAGAAAAATTCAACATATCATATTTTGAGCTGGGTGAGACATACAATAAATGACAGCTATAAAGAGAATTTTTCAAGATATTTATTTAGCTGCCATGGTCTTGATTTAAGAGAATAAAAAACTTAAAACACAAGCTGAGTACCTGCTGCTACTGAAATGGTCAACTAGAGACTACTGTATTCAAATAAAGGGCATTGTGTGTAAAAATGAAAAACCAAAGATCACTGGGGAGAAAGAAGCAAAAATGTTCCTAAGATAATTTTCAGTAGAATGTGCATTAAACTTCAACTCTTATCTCTTCCCCAGATGCATTAATGGAATCTCTAGAATGAATCAATGGGCTGTCTGTATCCAAAACTCCAGGAAGAGTGTTTCCCTGTGAATATTATTTTATTTTATACCTTTCTGAATCAAGCAGTGAACTAAGTAGGCAGTAAACATCTTAGGTAGTAAGTAACCTCTCTCTAAACAGAATTACAGATCTCATTGTTGCAGTCTAAATGCCCCTACTTAAGTAAAAACATGGGACAGCCTTAAATTTGTAACTAGAAATAATCAAATTGTCCTTCGAAATTCATCTTTAAGACTGACAGAGCAAACAAGTCACTTTTTGATAGCTGCAAAGATATTGGCTTTATAGGGTAGTAATGCATTTCAAAAAAAAAAAAAAACAACAACAGTTTTTGGGTTTTCCCTCCGATTACTAATTGTAAAACTGGAAGAATTACAACCTGGATTGCAGATAGGCAATTCAAAAGCACAGTTTACTAAATTCCTGTCATAAGAAAGCCATCTAGTGTTAACATTTAGAAATGAAAACTGCAGACAAAAGAGGCAAAGAAAAATCTGACTATTTTGAACTTAATGAGCAAACCTATGAGAATCACCAAGAGTCTTTGTTTTGTTTTGTTTTTTAAGCCATCATTTTCAAAACCAAGTGTAAATCTAAGCAAAATCCAAAGTGTCTAAAATTTTACTTTGACAAAAACAAAAACAACCACGTTTCGGTGACCACAGTCCCGTGACCAAAACACTTGATTTTTCCAGTACTCAAGCTGGAGTCATCTTGGGCTGAATTAATTTAACTGAAGCAGGTTAATGATGACAAATATCTCCCAGAGGGGTAATGCCAAGTTGTTTTTCTTGCAGAGAAGCATCAGCTCTCTTTCGCAGATGATGAACCGAAATTGATTCTCTGGGTTTGCTGCACGTTTGGAAATTAATCTGTAGCTGCTCCTGGGGATAATCCCAGGACGTGGTCAAACTAGCTTTGATAATGCTGGACGACCCAAACCGGTGTGGGAACAGAGTAGGCAGGGAAACACCGAGCCAGGGAAAGTGTAAGAGCCGTCGGGACTCCGAGGAAGGTAAAGCTGAGTTAAAAAGGCGCTCGCCTTCAGCCTGGGATCCTACAAAGAGGGAGTCGGGAGCCGGGAGCCGGGAGCCGGGAGTCGGGAGTCGGGAGCCGGCGGGGGAGCGCGCCCGCCGCACACACCTTCCAGGAGCAATAAAGCCCGAAGCAAGTTCAGCAAGTAACCCCGCCTGAATCTCCGGATGGACAGCGCAGGGTAACCTTTTATCTTCTCTCTTAGATTAGTCACAGAGGAGTTGCTGGGCACCCAGAGGAGGTCCTCATTGGTGCTCAAGTCACCAAGACAGAATAACCTTTCTCCTGATCGATAACTTTGAGAACGAGCGGCGGCGCCCCTCTTCCACCCAAGGCTTGAGAACGCGGGCGCGTCTGCGAGCCGGACCCCAGCCCCGCACCCCTCACCCTCACCCCAGGCCCCGCAAGCCGCTCTGGAGCGCCCCGTCGTCAGTCCCCCGAGGCGCTCCAAGGGTAGCTCCCTAACCTCGGGACCCACCTCTTTAAAGCCACCCCAGACAGGACCCGGAGGCTAGCGAGCAGCCCTCTGCCTCGCTCCCCGACCGCTCGCCCAGACACGCACCTCAGAGACGCAGAGTCCTCCCGGACCTGCTACAACCCGCGAGCGCGCGGCGGCGCGAACCCGAGCCGCCGCCTCGCCTCCCGGGGCTGCCCATCGGCCCGGACTCCACCGGCGCCGGGCTCCAGCGGGAGGCGGCCCGGACCTGCCGGTTGCGGCTGGAACTGTCGGCCTGCGCTCCGGCGGTTAGCCTAGGCGGGGGCGCGGCGCTGCTC